ATTATAGATATGACATGATTTTCTGTATAAAACATATTACTGACCTGGTCTTAAAGATGATTTTCAATAATTTCATGTCCTCAGAATACAAGAGGAAAATAATTTCTATTTTAAAGTAGCAGTTTGGGATTATCTAAACAACTTTTTTACAAAATAAAGTTGGAAAAAAGAGCTTTCCAAAAATATAAGCAGTTGGACATAAACAGTACAAAAAGAAATAAGACTAGTTACCTGAGATTCATGATGATTAATAATTACTGATTGTAATTAGGATACAATGTTCTTTACATATGGGCAAGGTAAGTAATAATACTCAGTCTGTCATCTCTTGAGTGTTTTCTGTTATAGTTTGTTTTCCAAATGCATTACATACATTATCTCATTTAATCCTGAAGTCAAGTCTGACAAAGTCTGACTACTATTACCACATTACAATGTATGTTTAATTTCAAAGTATCCATGTTTTAGCTCTGTTGTTCCTAAGCCAACAAATGTAGAAGATAGCTCCAATTAGAGCCTTTCAAGAACATAGTTTTTCTTCCTAACAAAGTATTTTCATCATTTTTAATTCATTACTTTGTTCAGTTCTGAAAAAAAGAATTAATCACTGTGATTGGATTAAAACATTAGGAAAATAATAAATATTTTCTGTGAAGATTTTTCATTGAATAATATTCAGATGAATACTGAGATGTCTATAGGAGGCAAAGTTACTTTCAGTTAATTCTCGACAATGAAAATTATGTGAAATATTTCCCATACTAAGAATTTTTTCTTAGTATTTAAAAATAAAGTCCTGAAATTTCATACACCATAACTAACCTTTGGAATGGTGGCCCTTGGGTCAAATGCCTTCCATAAGCCAATGAACTGTCACTAGATGGAGAAGAAAAATATGAGTCCTAGTGACAGAGAAGAATCTCAGCATTTTGTCTATCTCATTGGGAATATCAAGAAAACAGTTATATTGCATGTTGATGGCAGGAGCCAGGTTGAAGGGAGAGTGGAATGTGATAAGCCAAGTTGGTAAATTTAGACTACCCTTTCATAGTGCCTTCCTGTGAAGGAAAGAATTGAGAAGAGAGTGATTAAAATAGGATTAGGATGGTTGAAAGTGAACTTTTTAAAAGTAGGAAAATCAACAAAAAACAGCATGGTATTGGCCCCAAAACAGACTTGTAGACCAATGGTACAGAATAGAGGACACAGAGACTAACCCACAAAATTACAATTATCTTATATTACACAAAGCTGCCAAAAACATGCACTGGAAAAAAGATAGCATCTTCAACAAATGATGCTGGGGAAACTGGAAATCCACATGCAACAAAATGAAATTAAACCCCTATCTCTCACAATGCACAAAACTTAACTCAAAGTGGATCAAGGACCTACAAATTAAACCAGAGACTTTTCGTCCAATAGAAGAAAAATTAGGCCCTAATCTCCATCATGTGGGATTAGGCCCCAACTTCCTTAATAATACTCCTACAGCATAAGAATTAAAACCAAGAATCAACAAATGATGGAATCAAACTAAAAAGTTTCTTCTCAGCAAAAGAAACAATCTATGAGGTGAACAGAGAGCCCACATCCTGGGAGCAAATTTTTACCCCTCACACATCAGATATATATATATATATATATATACACATATACACAAAGATATGATAATCTCTAGGGTGTATAAAGAACTCAAAAAGCTAAGCACCAAAAAAACCCAAATAACTAGTCAACAAATGGGCCAAGGACCTGAATAGACACTTCTCAGAAGAAGATATACAATCAATCAACAAATACATGAAAAAATGCTCATCATCTCTAGCAATCAGAGAAACGCAAATCAAAACTACTCTAAGATATCATTTCACTCCAGTCAGAATGGCAGCTATTATGAAGACAAACAACAATAAGTGTTGGCAAGGATGTGGGGAAAAAGGTACACTCATACATTGCTGGTGGGACTGAAAATTGGTGCAGCCAATATGGAAAGCAGTATGGAAATTCCTTGGAAATCTGGGAATGGAACCACCATTTGACCTAGTTATCGCTCTCCTTGGACTATACCCAAAGGACTTAAAAATAGCACACTACAGAGACACAGCCACATCAATGTTTATAGCAGCACAATTCACAATAGCTAAACTCTGGAACCAACCTAGATGCCCTTCAGTAGATGAATGGATTTTTTTAAAATGTGGCATATATACACAATGGAATTTTACTCAGCAATAGAAGAGAATAAAATCATGGCATTTGCAGGTAAATGGATGACATTGGAGAAGATAATGCTAAGTGAAGTTAGCCAATTCCGAAAAAACAAATGCCGAATGTTTTCTCTGATATGCGGAGGCTGACTCATAGTGGGGTAGGGAGGGGGCGCATGGGAGGACTAGATGAATTTTCTAGATAGGGAAGAGGGATGGGAGGGAAAGGGAGGGGGCAGGGGACTAGCAAGGGCAGTGGAATGTGATGGACATCATTATCCAAAGTACATGTATGAAGACTTGAATTGGACGTCAACGTACTTTATGTATAAACAAAGATATGAAAAATTGTGGTATATATGTATAGTAAGTACTGTAATGCAAAAAAAAAAGTACATGTATAAGGCATGAATTGGCGTGAACATACTCTATATACAAAGATATGAAAAATTGTACTCTATATATGTAATAAGAATTGTAATGCATTCTGCTGTCATATATTTAAAAAAATAAAAAAAATAAAACTAAAATTAATTAATTAATTAATTAAATTAAAATAATAAAAATAAAAGTAGGAAAATTGGCAGTTCTTTTTTTACAAATCTCTGTGTCGTTTAGGTAAGAGAGAAGCAAAAACAGGATCAGGAGATAAATCAAAAGGTCTTTACAATAATACAAGTAAAAACAATTTAGGGTATAAGCAACTGAGATGATGAAAAAGCTAAATTAGAATTCAGGGGAAAGGTAAGATTCAGGGGGATAAAATGTGATTGAACATAAGTGACAGTTGTGCATGGCTATTTAAGAGAGGCAGTTCATTTCTAATTGCTTGCAATGTCTTGGTGAAATAGGAGGAAAGCCATTTGGTGGGTATGGAATGTGTCAAAATTAGATAAAGAACTTTGATAAAATTGGCATCAACTTAGAAAATTACAGACCTCTGGGAAAGGGGATTGAACTAATCAAAGACACCCAAAAGGATTACAGAGCAGTGATGAAGGATCGTAAATTTGTAATCGTGCAGTGCTTATGATATCTTCTACACTGTTCAATAATTTGGAAATAGGACCTGAATAAACGCATGGTTTTGATTAATTCTAAAGCTTGGGATTAGCAAGGGTTATGTATCAGATGAACAAATAAATGAAGAAATTGAAGAAACAGTGAGTGAATGTAGTTGGGTGTCCTGTACGAATAATCTGCTCCAAGGAACCTAGACTTATTAGAACAGTAATGTAGGACTTATTCTTTCTTATCCTGTTATTATTTCATACTTTCCCTCTATTTGGCATGCCCCCTCCTTGTTTTATATTTTTTAAGCCTTGTTTCCAATGCTGCCCTCTCAGTGAGACACTAAAAGTAATCATTGTAAATTCTTAATGTGTTTCTTATACTACTTTTCTGCTATTTTTATTTCTAAAAATTACACTCTATAAAAAGCACTGTACTAAGTGTTAACAACAAATAGTAGCATACAATATTTATTGAGCACTGCCATAAGCATTACAAATAATTTTTCACAACAAATCTGTTAATGACTCCAGGAGGTAGGGATTTTTATGAACTTCATTTTCCAGGTAAGGAAAGAGAGCCTCAAAAATATATGCACACCACCTCTATGTGGCAAAGGCAGAACTAAAATCCTGGTATTTAAATTCCAGAGACACTTCACAATAGCTAGACTGTGGAACCAACCTAGATGCCCTTCAATAGATGAATGGATAAAAAAATGTGGCATTTATACACAATGGAGTATTACGCAGCACTAAAAAATGTCAAAATCATGGCATTTGCAGGGAAATGGATGGCATTAGAGCAGATTATGCTAAGTGAAGGTAGCCAATCCCTAAAAAACAAATGCCAAATATCTTCTTTGATATAAGGAGAGCAACTAAGAACAGAGCAGGGAGGAAGAGCATGAGAAAAAGATTAACATTAAACAGGGAGGAGAGGTGGGAGGGAAAGGGAGAGAGAAGGGAAATTGCATGGAAATGGAAGGAGACCCTCATTGTTATACAAAATTACATATAAGAGGATGTGAGGGGAAAGGGAAAAAAAACAAGGGAGAGAAATGAATTACAGTAGATGGGGTAGAGAGAGAAGATGGGAGGGGAGGGGTGGGGAGCTGGGATGGTAGAGGATAGGAAAGGTAGCAGAATACAACAGTCACTAGTATGGCAATATGTAAAAACGTGGATGTGTAACCGATGTGATTCTGCAATCTGTATACGGGGTAAAAATGGGAGTTCATAACCCACTTGAATCAAATGTATGAAATATGATATGTCAAGAGCTTTGTAATGTTTTGAACAACCAATAAAAAATAGATAAAAATAATAAATAAATAAATAAATAAATTCCAGAGACACATTCTTCTCCATTTGGACTGTGTTTGTATTATCTTGTTTGTAACAACTTGGTCTTTAACTTACATAACACACATTTGTACTCACAGCTCCTACATTAACATATTGCCCAAAGTAGATGCTCAATAATGTATTTTACAATTTTTGTATGTGTGTATTTAAAGACTGGAACAACCCTGAGCTCTTGAATGAAACATGTAAACACATTGCCCCATTCTGTAAGGGCATTTAGTTCCATTTGTAGTTGACTTTGTTGATAGCCTCTAAGACAAACACAGGATTTTTCCCATGATGTTTTCTTTCCATAAATATTATCCAGCTTTCGTTAAAAGCCCAGGTATTCGGAAAGGAAAGAAAAACTTTTACAGTTTTTGATACTGTCAGACATCATGACTTAAAAACATGTAAATAGTTTTCTCTTGCCACATAACAAATTACCAAAAATTAGTATCTTTTAAAAACCCATTTATTATCTCATAGTTTCTTTGGTTCTCACTCTGAGCTTAGCTTAGTTGGGTTCTCTGCTCAGGGATCTCAAAAGGCTGAAAAGGTGTTGACAAGGTTTGTTCCATTCTGTATCTTAGGGTGCTCCATTAAGCTTGCATGGCTGTTGGCACAATTCAGGAACTTAGTTGTAGGATATAAGCTCTACCTTCTTGGTGGCCATGAGCCAGAAACCACTCTCAGCTTCTACGGCTCATCTCGTATTCACTTCCATGTGGTCCTTTCCACTACTGGGCAAATTGAATTGGAACCAATTGACCATTTGCTGCAGCATTGAATTACTGGCTTCTTCTGTGTCTGATATTGAAGAACTTGTTTTAAAAGGGCACAAATGAAAAGATCAGGTCAGTAGATGCTAGTGGGGAGAAGAAACCTTGAGGGCCATCTAAGAATTCCACACCTGCCTCAGAAAGTCTATGCCCTAATGCTTGACTTTGAAATATCAAATTTAAAATTGTTTATTTCCTTTACCCACAGCCTGGTGAGGGTCATAGAGGACCCAGGAGACCATGTCCACCTAGATCACTGCCTCCTCTTTTCTCCACAACTTTCTCCTTTTGGACTAGGACCTGTTCAACAAGCCCTTCCTCTTTATGGTTCTGGGAGAATTCCACCCTTCCATTACCCTCCTCCTTATGGCTCAGGGAGAATTCTAGTACCTGGTCCAGGTTATCGATCCATCTTTCCAATCAAGAACCTATCTACCTGGACCTCCATTACCCCCTGAAAAATCCCCAACTTGTCTTCCTTTCCTACTCTTGGACCCAAACTACAAACAACTATAGCAACAGGTGCCAATAACACCATAACTACTTCTCCTACTACCCCAAATGCAAGTTTCAACACTACTTCTCAGAGCATTTGGAATAAAATCATTTTTATTTTTGGATAAGGATGAGATGTTCCCAAAGCTTTGAGCATTTGGGGGAAACAATCTGAAAAAAAATTAAAAAGCAACCTTCACAAACAGGTAAAACAAAGTGAAAATAAAGAGTTGCGAAATAATATGACACTTCTACTGTTTTCATGAGAGCTACAACTTTGTCCCTTGTTGTGTCATTCAAATGAAAATTGATGCTCCCAAAATCCTCATAACATTAAGAGAAAGAAATAATTAGGGGAAAATACAATGAAGTACCTGGGCTTGCAGTTTAGGGTAATGAAGAAAGAATAGGCAAAAAGATGTCCTCTTCATTGCCAGCCATCAAACAATTACAAAGCCTAAAATAACACAAATAAATGTTAAATCTAAATAATCTTAGCCCTCCCCACACGTGCCCCGTGAAAATTCCTGAGTACTGTCTAATAATTATATTTGGCCCTCCACATCCCATGGGTTCTGCCTCCATGGATTAAACCAAATTTGCATTGAAAATATTCAATAAAAATATCACATCTATACCAAACATGTACATATTTTCTTCATTGCTATTTTCTAAATAATAAAATTTAAAAACTATACCGCTTTACATTGATATAGGTATTATAAGAGATGATTTAACAGAAGGATGTGCACATACAAATACTATACCATTTATATAAGGGACTTGAGTATCCACAGATTGTGATATTCATGGGTCCTGGAATCAATCACCTATGGACACCAGAGGATGGCTTTAAATGAGCTGTTAAATTACAGAGGAGAAATACTTTCATAGCAAATCTAAATATCTCAATGATATATGTATTATTGGACTTCAATATGAAAAAAATATATTTTTTTTTCAAGCTAAGGAGAGTATAATGCTTTCAAATACTGATTTTTTTCCAAGTTTCTATTGCTTCTATTAGTTGAGGTTTTAAGCAAAAGTATTATAACTATTTATCAAATGACCTCATTATATTATGAAAATTCTATCCCTCCATTTTTGACTGAAGTATAGAACAACATTTTTCTTCTAATTTCCCATATTTCCATCAAACCAAACACATATGAATTAAAACCTCTTAAAGATACTTAAAGCCCAAATTTGTTTATGTGTGCTTTATGCTCTCTTTCATTCCACAGATATCTTTCTGAGAGCATATCATGAACAGGGGTTGTACTAGTAGTTGAATAGACAGTAATAATAATGAAGGCAATTGGGTCACTTCCTCGTGGAGTTTACATTTTAGTATGACATTCTATAAAAAATAAGATGTACATAAATTAAATTTAAGTAAGGAGTCCTTTGACTAATGATAAGGAAGGTATAGTAAGACAATGAATAGTGATGATTGAATGTTTCATATGACACAATTAGAGAGAAATTCTCTGCTTAAGTGATACAGGAGGAAGACCTGAAAAATGTTTACAAGCAAGATATTAAATGCTCTAGAGAGGGAATATTCAAGGAGAAGCAGTCACACATGTAAAGATCTAAAGTAGCAAGAGATTTCTGGGGAGGAGGATCCTAAGAATGTTGATGTGGCCCACATTCAGTGAGAAAAGAGGAGAGCGGAAGGAACTCATCATAAAAGGCTTTGGATTTTAAAATTTATTCTAAATGTTTTGAGGAGTAGTTGCATCTTTAAATTAGAGGAAAACATTATTAACATTTTTCAAAACTTCATAACTCTTGCTACTCTATGGACAACAAACTGTTACAAGAGCAAGAGTGAAAGGTATTTCAAGAACCCTGATGAGAGAGACAGTGGCTTGGACAGGGATGGGATTAGTGGAGACAGGAAAAAGTGGTCAGATGCAGGATACAGTCTTAAAAAATATATCCCAAAGTATTTGATGAAGTATTGGCCTTAGGATTTGAAGAAAATAAAAATCTAGAAAAATTCTGATAATGTTGGCCTAAGTCATGGTGTGAATAATTTAGTCATGGTATGAATCATTTAGTGAGAGAGGAAAGCCTGGAGAAGGATCAGGATGCAAGGGTTGGGAATAGTTCAGCACTGGACATGCTAAGTTTTAACTCCATATTTAACTTGTATATTATTTTATATGGCTTTCATAAGACATTATCACAAACAGCAGCTTAAAACAATACAAATTTATTATCTCACATAGATAGATCTCAATAGATAGGAGTTTAGAAGTCCAGGTAACAGAATGACTCTGTTAATTTCTCTGCTTAGAGTCTCACAAGGCTAAAATCAAGATATCAGTAGGACTGTATTTCATTTTCGAGGGTATAGGAAGGAATCTGTTTTAAGACTCTTCTTTCCTACGTATCCCTTCCTCCTAATTCTTCTACCACATCTCCGATGCTAGTAAAAGAAATTATCTATTTTTAAGACAAATTTCCAACACCTGATTATTTTATAAAAGATAGACTAGACAGAGTTAAAATACAGTGTTGGTAATGATAATATCTAAGAAATTAATATGAGTGAGGTTGGGATAAAAGAAAACAGTATTGGACTTTGAAATCCAAATGTTGGAAGTCAAGGAATTGAGAAGTCATGACATTGGATGAATCATTTACAGGGATGTTGAAGTCATCCAAAAGAGACAAATGAAAGAGCAATGAAGAAGACATGTGTACAATTATGAGTGAATTAAAAGAATATAAAAAGTAAATTTTTGAAAGTTCTTGATATCCCACTAACTATAAATGATATGTCTCTAGGAAATTTTGCTTTCTGCCCTCATCCACATCTAGATCCTTCTGTTCTCATTTACAAATTCCTCCTCTTTTAACATCCACTTATCACCTTTATTTTCTTACCTAAATAACAAACCAACCTCTAGAATATGCCCCCATCTTTCTCAGTGAATTTTAAGCTCTGCCCATTATCTTCTTTCTGTGCCTGCTCTAGACACATCTTCCATACATTAGGCCTGATGTTTTCACCCCCTTAATTCCTATCTTCAGAGTTCTGATCACACCACTTTCCATGACCCACTCAACATTACTTAAACCAGTTACAAGAAGACTGCTTCCTTGGGTATTAAAACTCCTTCATCTCAAACCTGAAACGTTAGAACCCTCTTCTTTTTTTCCTATCTTTTAAAGTTTGTCCTCCCCATCCCTTTTTTAAATACCCTTTTAAATCTCACTGTGATCTTGAAGTACTCCTTATTTCCCAGTCTATAATTACTATTTGGAGTTTATTTGTTTCCATTTTCTGCTGACATTATAATGTTGAAAACATAAGTAATTACAGATAGGTAATTAGGTAATAATAAATGCTTAGATTGATTACAAAATTTAATAATAATTACTACCAATTATTTTAAGCCTGTTCTGGGTTTGAAATTGATTACAACTACTGATTCAAAAACACAGATAGAAGGATAAAGACATAGAGATAAGTCAACTGTTCTACAATGCATGAATTACTATTACTACTGCAATTAAGCCAGTTTTGTCCATTCCCTCTCCTCTATATGGTGAGCACTCCCAAGACAAAATTTGAGATGATTCATTATTATAAATATGCAAATTAAATGCTCAGGTTTCTTGCAAATGAAAATAAAAGTAGGGCTGCAGTTGTGGCTCAGTGGTAGAGCACTTGCCTGGCATGTGTGAGGCACTGGGTTCAATTCTTCTCAAACCTGAAACTCAGCACATATAAATAAATAAATAAAGGTCCATTGACAACATAGACATAGATATAGATATATTTTTCAAAGAAAAGTAAACTTTGAACCTGGACCAGATGACAGTATAAATAAAGCCCATGTATTCCCATTCTTCTTATCCTATCACCACATGTCAACTAAGTACATAAGACCTTGCCAAGTCTATTCACAAAGCTAAAAAAAAATGATCTTACCTAGTTTCCTTCTGGGTACTCCTATTTCATTCACTGATATTACTGATATGTAATGCTTACTTCATAATGATAGCCTTCCAAGGGTTACATTATACTATGATGTCATTCACCTCTACCAGTTATAAACAATAGTGATATAATAACACCAAGCTGGATAGGGATTCAGAATATCTTCCATGTAACCAAAAACCCCAAGCTGCACTTGAAGAATCATTAGATAAAGGATTTAAGAAATCTATAAACATCCAGAAAATCCTGCACAATTATATATCAAAGAAAATTTAATATAAATATTTATTGTGAAGAGTTATTTTTGCCAGACACATTGGTGCATGCCTATAGTCCCAGCAATTCAGGAGGATGAAACAGCAGGATAGCAAGTTTGAGGACAGCTTTGGCAACTTAGTGAGACTCTGTCTCAAAATTTTTAAATAAATAAATATAAAGAGCAAGGGGTGTAGCTCAGTGGCATAGTGCCCTTGGGCTCAAATCCCCAGTTCTGGAAAAGAAAAAAGTCATTTTGAAGAAATCTTAAATCTCTTGGAAAATTGAGAATTTAATTACCGAAGGGTATCACAAAACACTAGGTGTCAAAGGAAAATCCATTTTCTCCTCCGTTTTCTTCTTTGTGGACACAACTGGACTACATTTCCTAAACTCCTTTGCAACTATATGTAGCCATGTGCTTAATTTCAGCCAATGGAGTAGGAGCAAAAAGTGATATGTTACTTCTGTGAACCATAAAACCCTCTTATGTGTTCCTTCAAGATCTTTTCTCTTCCTGATATTGGAATGACAAACCCCAGGGAAACCTTTAAATTCGTATGTTAAGATAACAACTGCCACCATTCTTGTGCTCAGGATGACTGGGTATAAGCAAGTTTCCCAAGCTTAACCCTGAAAGACTATGATGCCAATTAAATATTACATGGATAAGAAATTGAGCTCTGTTTTGAAATATGTTTTGGATATGTTTGTTCCTACAACCTTTTCTATCTAACAAAGAAATCTATACCCTACTTTGAAGTGAACTACGAGATTCACAAAGAATGATGGGGAAAGAGATAGAAAGATTACAAAATGCCTTCACTTTATTTTCAAAATGCTCCTTGGTATTTGGTGGATAATCATAATTGATAATTATTTTATTTTCTGCACCCTGAAAGAGATTATGAAGAGGCCTTATTTCTTATCTTACATCAGGGATGGTTTTTTCTTCCAAGATAAGAATTTTTTTTCCAGGATGGGAAAGAGTTTTGATGAAATACAATTAAATGAGACTAAAGAGTCTAGGAATTGATGGAAATAAATAGAATTCACTGGAAAGAGATGAGTGGAATGGAATATACAGAATACAATGCATAACCCCTTGTTCCGATAAATATGTTCATGGGTATGCATAATGGGCCTTGTTGTTCAATGTATTTCTTACTGTTATTCAGCAATCAAAAATATTTAATACTTATCAAGTATATTTTTGAAAAATATTACTTTAATGTTCCATCATTTACTCTATGCTGATTAAAAAGAGGAAAGACAGAGAGAGAGAGCTGATAGATTGAGAAAGTCAAAGGGTCAAAGGACTGCTGCTCCTAGTAGGAAGAATTGATCATGCAAGCTTAAAAAAGACGCAGGTGTAGTCCCAGAGTGAGATGTTTGAATGAGTGGCTTAAAAGTGGAATATATCAGGGTAAAAAGCAACCCAACATATGAACATGACAGTGAATAGCTGAAGTAGGGAAGAGAGAGATCATTGTCCAGGAAAAGATCAGAAAGAGAGGATGCTAGGATGGGACGCCTAGCTGAATATTTAAGTCACCCAGGATGACATTAGGTGGATCCTATGGCAAGCAATAGCTGAAATTTTGAAGGAAATCCATTCTGGC